CTCCCCTCTTAAATTCTAGCCTTTAAAAATTTCAAAAAACAACCCGAGCCTGGAAGAGCCAGTGAGGTGGTAATTGCTGCCAAACGAAATCCAGGATTGTCAGCAAGCTGACTGTAATGTGAAGCACCACTGGTCAAAGCTACTGGAAAAGTTGTAGCCGATCAACGTAGCAGTGTATGTATAATAATGCAGTGAACTTACCTCCTGTGTGAGGCAGCATTCACAACGACTGTAACCCAAGTGGCTTTCGGTCTAAGCAAACCTTTTTGAAAAAATGTGACTTCGAGAAGAAAATGGCATCCTTGCTTCTTTTTTTATCAAAATTAGGTCCTCTTACTGTTCCTGAACCTTCCGCTACAGCTCGTCGTCAGCCTTTTTATTCTATTTTTCAAAAATTTAATCGCGAAAAGTAATAGCTAATAAGTAAAATGCAATTTCTTATTCAGGTAAGGAGCTGCACGAGCCTCTTAGCAAAATCTTATTTTTGCTTTTTTTTCTGCTTTTTCCCATTTTCTTTTGGAAATTTTCAAATCTTTCCAGAAAGAAATTTCGAAAAACTCCACAGATACCCAAAGGAATTCTAAAGAAACCTAAATAAATTTTCCGGAAAAAAAGTATTTCCTAAGAATTTTCCATTTCCAGATACACAAATGCATGCGAACATAGACAAGAATACATGCATGCAAAAACATGTGAACACACACGCACTTTGAAATCAGAGATTTTGCATGAATAATTTGGGTCTTGTTTTAAACTTCACGTAGCAATTTCTGATGGAGGAAATTTGCGTTTTTGAGGGCAAATATGCATTTATTTTTTCAAAAACTTTTGCAGATTTCTTTGCATATATTCTCACCCTTATTATTAATGAATCTTCCGATGTTATTTTCAACTGCGAAATAGAAAACTGTTTTCCAATGTGCTTCAATTTAAAGCTTTTTTCTTTGGAAGCGCATTACTCAGTGCTGGCGGCAAAGGCATTCTGGGAAGTAGCATTAGGTGCAGTAGGTTGAGTGTTCGACTTCGCCAATAGGACAACCACCCTCAAATTAAGACTCATTCCTTTATTACAAT